AATATTTCTTAAAGTAGCAATGGTTTCATAAATATACTAGTTGAAATTGTAAAATACAATAATATATTATATATTTGAATAAGAGTAAAATATTAGAATGATAAAGAAAATTATATTATCTATGTTAAAATTATTTGATAAATTAGAGATTTCGATCAAAAAATGGTTTCAAATTTGATTCGCCATAACCGAAAATCCTTTACAATAGAATTATCATGAAAATTATTATATTCTATTCGAAATAATTAGGACGGAATAGAATTGGATTGAATTCTGGCTAAGATTTAACGTATACTATCCTAAAAATAAAAATGGAAAGAGAAGCATTTTTAGCCAACTTTGTTAAAAGTTATTATTATTCCTCCTCAAATTAAGGAATATTGGTATATGTGTGCTTAATCTTAATCAATTATATATCTTAATGTTGTTGTGCTAATCATGTCTAGATTAAAGATGAAAACACTTACAAGTTTAGCGATCACGAATAAATATCTATGAGTAGACAAGAATTAGATTTTAAAATAAATAAATAAACTACCATAAGAAATTTTTGGAACTTTTTTTATTTAAAAAATAAAATTTAAAAGAGTTGGTCTATTGGTTCCATGTCAATTCAGCGAAACTTTTATCGTGAATGTCGTTTATCGCGAATGAATTTTATAGCGAAACTTTTATCGCGAATCCACATTAGCGAATATTTTTCCGCGAAAACAATATAGCGAAACAAATATCGTGAATTTTTTATAGCGAAACTCTTATCGCGAAACCTTTAAAGCGAATACATTAGAGCAAAATTTTTATCGCGAATCAATAATCGCGAAAATTTTATAGCGAAGTCAATATCGCGAAACATAAATCGCGAAGATAATATAGCGATAACTATTTTTTTTTATTAAAATAATTTATTTTATTTATATTTAATGTTCATATTTTATTTATCAACAAATAAACATATTATATGATATATATTTTTTATTTATATTATTATATTATGAAATGAAATGAAAGATGGATTTCTTTTATTTGATATTTTTTTAATAAAAAAAATGATATGCTACTATTGTAAAATTATTTTTGTTACAATTTATTAGTGATTTTCACACGCCCAAAATTTTAAGCAAAAAATATTTTTTGAAGTTCAAAAAGATTTTTAAACATATTTTGATAAAAATTTTAAATCTTTTTTGAGGAATTCTTTTGTGAATTTTATAATAAATAAACAATCTTTTAGGTGAAATCTTTTATAGTTTTTTTTATGTCATTTTTGTAAAATTATCTATTTTTTAAGTATATTAAAAGAGGTGGGTTTTCTAAATAATATTTTTTAAAAATATTTTTATTTAACTTATTTATCTATATGATCGTTTTAAGGATAATAATTTAATATGACAATTTTTATATTCGTTATTGAAGATGTACCTTGGAAAAATGACAATTATCATAATCGGTATTTTTAAACATATTAGATTTTTTTACGGTAAAATAAATATTTTTAACATGTTAAATTAAAATTTTAATTAAGATGCACCATATAAAAGTGACAATTATCATAATCGTTATTTTTAAAGTTTTTAAAAATTTTTTGACGTAAATTGGTTAAAATAAGTATTGATAACATGTTTAAATAAAACTTCAGTGTAGATGTACCCAAGATAAGTGACAATTGTCATAATCATTTTTAAAGTTTTTTAAATTTTTTTGACGCAAATGGGCAAAAAAATAAATTGCTAACATGTTTAAATAAAAATTCAGTGAAGATGTACCCTAGATAAGTGACAATTGTCATAGTCGTTATTTTTAAAGTTTTTTAAATTTTTTTGAAGCAAATGGGCAAAAATAGAAAATGCTAACATGTTAAATAAAATATCAATGAAGATGTACCATAGATAAGTGACAATTGTCATAATCGTTGTTTTTTAAAAGTTTTTTGAAATATTTTGATACAAAAGGGTAGAAATATAGATTGTAAAAATGTCAAATTAAAATTTCATGAAGATGTATCATATAAAAGTGACAATTGCCATATTCGTTATTTTTAAAAGTTTTTAAATTTTTTAGAAGCAAATGGGCTAATATATAAATTGCTAACATGTTAAAATAATATTTCAGTGAAGATGTACCCTAGATAAGTGACAATAGTCATAATCGTTATTTTTAAAATTGTTTAACGCAATTGGACAAAAATATAAATTGTTAACATGTTAATATAAAATTTCAGTCCAAACAAAAAAACAAATCGATATTTTCATTCTCATTCATAATCATTGTTCCTTTTATCCTGCTTAAAATTTTATAAAAATATGCAAAGTGATTATTAAAGATAGCTGTAACCTGCTAAATTCTAAACTATATGGATTCACAATCTTATTCCTTTAATTAATAAATTTTAATTCTACCTTATAAAAAATGTATAACCTTGCATTCACAGTTGGCAAATATTTTTATATACTCGTGGAAAAATAGTGCTGAGTCTGAATTCAGGGTAGGATATTTATAGAAAGAACTTAAAAACCATATGAATATTATTTAGTAATATGATACAATTATCATCCTATAAATTTAATGTTAAGATTTTATTATGGTTAAAATGGATTACAATCTATATTTTAACCCATTTACATCAAAGACCTTTAAAAATAACGATTATGAAATTGTCACTTTTCAATGGTATATCTTCATGAAATTTTAATTTAGAATGTTTATAAACTATTTTAATCCATTTGCAACAAAAATATTCAAAAAAACCTTATTTTAACCCATTTACATCAAAGACCTTTAAAAATAACGATTATGAAATTGTCACTTTTCAATGGTATATCTTCATGAAATTTTAATTTAGAATGTTTATAAACTATTTTAATCCATTTGCAACAAAAATATTCAAAAAAACCTTATTAACAACGATTATGACAATTGTAACTTATCTATGGTACATCTTCACTGAAATTTTATTTTAACATGTAAGCAATTTATATTTTTGCCCATTTGCGTCTAAAAAATTCAAATAATTTTAAAAATAACGATTATGACAATTGTCACCCTTCTATGGTACATCTCATGAAATTTTAATTTAACATGTTTACAATCTATATTTTTACCCATTTGCGTCAAAAAAAATCAAAAAAGTTTAAAAATAACGATTATGACAATTGTCACTTATCTAGGGTACATCTTCACTGAAATTTTATTTAAACATGTTTGCAATACTTATTTTAGCCCATTTACGTCAAAAAAATTCAAAAAGTTATAAAATAACGATTATGACAATTGTCACTTTTATATGGTACATCTTTATGAAATTTTAATTTAACATGTTTACAATCTATATTTTTACCCATTTGCGTCAAAAAAATTCAAAAAACTTTAAAAATAACGATTATGACAATTTGTCACTTATCTAAGGTACATTTTCACTGAAATTTTATTTTAACATGTTAGCAATTCTTATTTTAGCCCATTTACGTAAAAAAATTTAAAAAAGTTATAAAATAACGATTATGACAATTGTCTCTTTTTTATGGTACATCTTCGTGAAATTCTAATTTAACATGTTTACAATCTATATTTTTACCCATTTACGTTAAAAAAAGTTTAAAAATAATGATTATGATAATTGTCACTTATCTAGAGTACATCTTCACTGAAGTTTTATTTAAACATACTAGCAATACTTATTTTAACTCATTTTGGTCAAAAAAATTTAAAAAACTTTAAAAATAACGATTATGACAATTGCCACTTTTCAATGGTGGATCTTCATGAAATTTTAATTTAGCATGTTTACAATCTAAATGATATTTTTACCCTTTTGAGTCAAAAAATTTCAAAAATTTTAAAAATAACGAATATGACAATTGTCACAGCAAAATATTATCCTTAAAAAGATCCTAAAATAACATAAATAAGTTAAATATAAATATTTTAAAAAAAACTATAAAAGATTTCACCTAAAAATTGTATAATAAATTTCACAAAAGAATTCCTTAAAAAAGATATATTTACAAAGAAGATTTAAAATTTTTATCATAATATGTTCAAAAATTTTTTTGAACTTCAAGAAATATTTTTTACTTAAAATCTTGGGCGTGAAAATCACTAATAAATTGTAACAAAAAATAATATTACAATAGTAAGTAGCATATCATTTTTTATTAAAAAACATCAAATAATAAATAATATGTTGTAATCTTTTAAATAAATGCATTCGCAATATATTTATTGTTTCGCGGTAATGCGCTCGCGATAATGACTTCGCGCAAACAATTCGTGATAAAAAATTCGCTGTAAAGTGTTCGCGTAAAATGTTTCGCTAAAATGTATTTGCTCTAATAAATTCGTGGTTAAGGTTTCGCGGAAATTAATTCGCGACAATGGCTTCGCGAAATTGTCTTCGCTATAAATGTTTCGCGGAGATAAATTCGCAGAATTGGTTTCGCGATTTTACCTTCGCTATAAAAACTTTTCGCGATAAACGACATTCGCGATAAAAGATTCGCGAAAAAGTGTTTCGCGATAAAAGTTTCGCTGAATTGACCTGATACGGGTCTGGTTCCATTCGATAATAGTCAAAAATTAAAAATAATTAAAATCATAGCTTGTTATTAAACGATGAACTTAACAAAAATAATATATTCCATTTTGTAGCAAGAATAATTGTTTTTTGAACGAAGAGATTTGGAAAATTTCTATTTTATTTTCATTCTCCTAAGGGGAATAAAGCTTATGTTCTCTTAATTTTTACATTTCATTTCGAATGTTGAATCGAGATTGTAAAGAATTATTGTATCTTTCGGCAGGTTTAAAATATTTCAAAAAGAGTTTTGTCAATTAGAATATTAATAGTAATAAATACAACACAAAATATTAGATTAAAATTGACCGGAAGGCTTTATTGATCCCAAACCAAAATTATTACAATTGTTTACAGTATGCCAAAAAAATATTTGACGAAATTATATATAAATATTATGTATAATTAAATTATTTCATTTATACATCAATAAAAAAAATAATTATACTATTATAAAAAAAATGATTCATATTTATTTCGCTATTCTCTTAAACACCTGGTTTTTATTGGTACCAAGTAATATCATTCTTATATTTTATCACACAATTTTCTTATTTTATTATCCAATTAAGGAGTATGCATATATTTCAGTTAACCCTATATTATAATATTTGTTTGCATATTTCTCAATATACCTATGCTCAAAAATGTTTTTTTATATAAATTTTATACTGATCGGAATTTAAAACCTTATACAGGCTAAATAATTTCTGAGACCTCTCCTGAGTTTTGAATTTCATAGCTTAAGATGAATTTATAGAGCTTAGTCTTAGCTTATTGATAATCATTGTTAATCTTTTATATTTAACCTAAGGGATATTTATCATAAGATAGTAAATCGCAAACATATTTGATGAATATACACACCTGAATGCAAATTAAGATCATTTGAGCATTAATTCAACAATATTTTCGTAAAACTTACGATAAATATATTTATGGGATTAATTTAAAAAACGGTTCATTATCCCTGTAAAGAACTAAAATAATCATTTTTTAAAAATATACTAAGCACATAAAGCGCTCCGCACATTAAAAGCAACAACTTACTTTAAATGCCTCCAGGATAAAAGATACACCGTTTTGCAAAATTGTCACAAATACGGTTATTGTTTAAACGATACCATTTTACTTCTGAACTGTCCCCAAAATCGTATATTTAACAAGGAAACACAAACATGCATGCAACCTTCAGATAATGCGCCCGATGCTTGTGTTCCGAAGGGTCAAAGTATATATTAACTATCATAATTATTATATTTACCCTATATAAAATATTTTCTTTTACACTTCTAAGGTTAATAATGATACTTTATCTATTAATAAAACTAAAATATGGTTTATAAATCATAAACAATATTTTACCAAAATTAATTCTTTTTTAAACTGACAAATTAAGGTAAAATTTTTTTTGTAGGATAAAGATTATTAGATTTATTATTGGGTCAGAGTAGAGTTAAGGCGGAATTTCGGTTGAGAATTAAATGAGGATTAAGGTTAGGGTTAAATTGGAAGTTAGTTAGGGGTTAGAGTTGGATTATCATAAGGAGGAAAGTTTACAAATAACTATTTCCAAGGAAAATAAAATGAACATCATTATAAAATATTTTTTTACCAATTTGATAATAAACATACATTTTAAGAATCCCGTACATTAAATATGCATTTGAATTAAGGGGTATTTTGTCCCGAAACCATACCCTTTAGTTATGTAACTGTAATGTTACATATATATACTAATAAGAATTAAATTATAAAGATTTATAATAAATTGGTTTAAAAAAAACTTATATTGATCAAGATATTTGTTACGAAGACTCTGTATTATGCCATGACAAACTATCTTGTGTAGCACCTGAGGACATTTGCAATGGAGTCTTGGATTGTTACGATGGTTCCGATGAAAAATTGGACTGTAAATCCTTAGAAGGTTAAAAAAATTAATTGGAGCAATTTAAATTTTTTTGAATATTCAAATGAATGTTAAACCAAAACCTTGAAAACCGGACTGAGCCTAAATAATTTAATTTTCTTTTTTTGATGAACAGGGTTACCTTTTACATTACTCATTTCATTACTCATTACTTTATAATATATTATTTTATATTTTAATCATTCCCTATTTTATTATTGTTTAGTGTTTAGGTTTGGTATATATATTTTAAACAAATTATATAAATAAATAAAACAAATATAAAACAGAGTTATTATAAATATACATGTATTTTCTTTCCATTTAAAATCCAGCTGTTATATTCTAAAGAGTGATAGTGATATTAATTGCGTATTACTGTCATAATTAGCTTAACCAGAATATGATATTTTCGGGTTCTAAAAGATATAAAAGGGAAAAATATTTGCAATGGGAGTACAATCTTTGTCCTCGCAAAACAAAGCTGTCAACCTAAAATAGTAGTTTCCTATTCCCCCCCCCACCCCCTCTTCAAAAATGTCATTTTAAATTCTATGCCCTAATACTTTTTATAATATAATTCTTCAAGATTAAGCCAGAAAATGTTTACATATAAAGATTTAAAGCAAAATATTAATTGAACAAATCAAAGTTTATGAATATGAATTTATATAAAAGAAAATAATAAAAGTCAAAATGTGGCACGTAGTAGTGATTGGTAGAGATTTAAAAATTTTTTAACGGCATGTGCAGTTACACGGATTTTAATGAAGGTTTTTTAACCTTGAAATTTCAAAATTTAACTGAAACCTTAATATTAAAAAAAGTCATTTTCTTGAATGAATTTTATCAGAACCTTATTTTTATATCAGAATGTTCCCTGGTCGAAGCTTATAACTTATGAGATTTAATTATATATTTAATCTTAATACAGAGGCTAACTATTTACTTAAATTACATGAAAAGTGATTTTACATATAATACTTATTTATAAAACGAATATGATCAAGGGAAATTTAGTCAACTCATAGCTAACGAGGATTGCCAGGGGGATGAATATAAATGTGCCACTGAAGGATGTATACCAATAAGCGGTAGATGTAATGGATTAGTCGATTGTTCTGATTGGTCGGACGAATTTGATTGCGATATTAAACTCGGTTCATCTATTGATATAATATGATCAATTATAAAAAAAATCACTATATTTTAATTTATACCATTGACCCGCTAAGTTATTCTAGATAAAAATAATAAACATACATTTGTAGAAAGTTATTAATATATTTTTCATTAGTTGCTATAGGGCAAGAATTTGTACTCCCAAATGTAACAAGTTCATCTTCTTCTCTAACAAAGTCCACCACCACAATTATATCGAGAGAGCTCAATACACAGGAGTCTTATATCAGAAATTTTAATATAAATAACACAAGGAAGGATAATAATTGTAACGATAAATACTGGAGTTGTGATTCATTTTCCGAATGTATTCCAATTCATTCTCTCTGTAATGGTATAGCCAATTGCAAGGATGGTTCAGACGAAATCCACTGCGATGGAAATACCCGTAATATTGACATTAATAAACTTTTTTATGATTTAAATTTTTTTTTTAAATTTGACTAATAAAGTATCATGATAAATTTACTTTTTCTTATTTTTAGAATAATATAATATGATATCTTATGCTAAATAAATATAGGAGATTCTTGCGAATCAGAAGAATGTCGATATCCACATTGCCGCTGTGCTTCTTCTGATTTACCTCCGAATGTTAAGATAGAGAATATGCCTCAAATTATAATGATAACCTTTGATGACGGAGTTAGGGCTCACGATTTTAAGAAGTTAATTTTTACAATATTTTACTCTTAAACTATCAAACCAAACAATATTTTTTATGGAAATTATTCTCTTCTCTTCTCTTCTCTTCTCTTCTCTTCTCTTCTCTTCTCTTCTCTTCTCTTCTCTTCTCTTCTCTTCTCTTCTCTTCTCTTCTCTTCTCTTCTCTTCTCTCTAAGAAAGAAAGAAATAAATAAATGAATGAATAGATAAATAAAAAACGTCAATCATTATTTATTTCATACAAAAAGCATTTACAACAAAATATTTAATAATGCCCGGAAAAATCCAAATGGATGTCCAATCAGAGCTACTTTTTTTGTGTCTAACGACTATACGGATTATTCTAGATTGAATCAACTTTACAGAATGGGTCATGAAATAGCCTCCCACTCTATTAGGTAATCGTAATAACATTTATAAATATACAATAAAACCTTAATACCAAATTTATAAGAGCTAGGTTTCACGTTTCAAAAGTGTGATAACTGTTCTATAAAATTTAGAATATAAATTATATAGGTTCAGTTCCTAAAGATTTGGTATAAAGGCCCGGTTATAGTTTAGAAAACCAACGGAAAATGTGATTAACATAATATACAATACAATATAATAAATAATTTAATATTTATTGTGTAATTTTTTACAATATATACGTACTTTTCCTATTATAAAGATTCAAAAAGATTAGTCAGGGATCCGAAGTGAACCAACAGGAACCGATATACAGGAATATTTTATGGTTTTCTAAACTATAACCGGGCCTTTATACCAAATCTTTAGGAACTGAACCTATATAATTTTTCTAAACCGGTGTAGAATTGTGAAATTACTACTTAGTGTGAAATCAACTGAGCTATAAATCTAATTTGGTAGTGATAAAATCTTTAAAGTTGGGACAAACATATCTATTGCTGCTAATAGGTAGTGTTAACGTTTTAATTTTCTTCGTGTCTAATATCAAAGACCTGCAGGTCCGATCAGTAAACCCAGCCCTTGCATTAAAATAATACAATTTAATATACCTATTCATACTTAAATATAGATAGTTATAAAGCGAACCGGGGCCGTAAAAGAATCTAAATTTTAAAAAAATGATATGCTTAAAAATAAAAGCCAGACAGGGAAAAATAGTTATAAAAAACCGGACTGGGTATATTTGAAAATGGAATAATTTTATTAATCCGAGCCTGGCTTAAGATTTTGATCTCTGCATCTACAAAAAAAAACATTTAAATTATTCGGTAAAGCCATAAATTACCGGAGTCTTATTGGAATACAGCCTCATATGATGAATGGAGGAGCGAAATAGCTGGGCAAAAGGAATTTATTCACAGATTGGCAAATATCCCCAAAAATGACATGAAAGGAATGAGAGCACCTTATCTTCGAATGGGTATAATATATCGATAGTATTTTATTTTTGAATTTAAATCCCAAAAAGTTAATTATTATATCTTTTTTAAAATATGATTATAAATATTTATTTATATAGGTGGTAACACAATGTTTAGCATGCTAGTGAAGGAAAACTTTATATATGATTCTTCATGGGTAGTTCAAGATATCAACCCTCCTTTGTTCCCTTTCACGTTAGACTTTCCCAAAGATCTAAATTGCCTCATAGAAAAATGCCCCAATAAATCTTTCCCAGGTGTCTGGGAAGTTCCTTTACTTTATTTTCAAGCCTTAAATAGAGACGAACTTGGAGGCGAGGAAAAAAATAATGGGGTATTGAAAATGATTAAAAGCGGTAAGAAGATTCTTAAAAAGAAAAAAAGATCTTCTGTCGACTATTCAATATTTGATATATTATCAAACGACGATGAATCCCAATCTACTATAGATTATGAAGGATCTGAGAAAACTTTAAGCAAGGATAAAAATAGTGAACCTTACTTGTTAAATGATTACGATTTTCATTACATAAATGAGAATTCAGATAAAAGTAATAAAGGAAACCAAGGTAGCTTGATAAATATGGAGGAAAGAAATACTGAGCTGGATAATTTCCATTTCTCGTCCTATCAAAATAAATATATTAATGAGTTAAATACCTCAAAGAATTTTAGATCTTGCGCCATGGTAGATGCTTGTCCACAGCCCAAAACAGCCAGGGGTGTTTTTGATGACATGAAATTCAACTTCGAGAGGCATTACTATTCGAATAAAGCCCCGCTGCCTTTATTTTTTCATTCTACTTACTTCCAAGCCAAACATGCTGTCACAGGATTTATAAAGTTTTTAGATTTTGCCCTCAATCACAAGGAAAAAGATGTTTGGGTAGTGCCTATATCAAATACACTGGAATGGATGAAGTCAGGTGGTGTTCCCCTAACAAAGCTTAGCGACTTTGAACCCTTCAAATGCGACAATATAAAGTATCGTATGGATTATAACACTTGTCCTAAGCCCAGGAAATGCAAGTATCAGATCAAGAAACCAACATGGACAGAAGAGAGATACGTGGTTGTATGCTCGAAAAGATGTCCTAGATTGTACCCATCGATAAACACGGCACCATTCTGATTAAATGAGAGATTTTATCTTTATATATTGGTTACACGCATTAAGCGTGTATCTGTTTGAAAATTTTATACTATACACTGCGGCATAAAATATGAAATTACGATTCTCAAAATAAAATGGAACATATGTTTATTTAATATAATGAGGTTTATAATTTTTAAGCTTATCCAAAAAAGTGAATTTACATAAATATAGTAGGCCACTCCTATGGGAGACTGTATATTAGTATTCAAACGGCGCGATTTTTAAAACCAGTTACCCCGATATTTTAGCCAAAAAAAATTACACAAGCCTCGAGATTTCGTTTATAGATGCTCATATCTTTCTGTCTTCTATGAGCAAAATATCCAGGCTTGCATAATATTTTTTGGCTAAAAAATTGGGTTAGCCGTGTTTAAAAATCGAACCGTTTAACAACACTCCTGTATATCCTTGATAAATAATTAATTAGTATTTCATATCTAGCATACATATTTTGAACGATTAAAAGTGGTACAAAATATAAATAATTAGCTAAGTTATATTTTTTTTATAAAAAAAACTTTCTTTTCAATAAGGTTTTTTATCATCTAAATAGATTTAGTTACACAATGGAAAAAAATCTGCTATTATGTGAAATACAATATAATCAAAAACATGTTGGTAATAACAACATTTCTTAATGTTCTTTTGTTTCATGCACTAAAGACTATCGAAGTTTAGAACCAGCTGGAAAACCCGAGACAAATCTAGGAACCAGAATTTCTCCCTCCTATTCTTTATAGAAACTAGAACCCCTTTTAAAATTTTCAGGAGCTCGAATTCAAACTTGTTCTAACAAATCAAGATAAATTTTTTATGTTTTATTATTCGAAATGTTTCTTAATCAAAGTCTAATATTTTCGCAACCAAATCCGATCAAAGAATTGGAACTCTTTAAACATTTTTATGTGTCGAAACCGATCTGTGGTATATATCCTAAATAAAATTTTAAGACTATGTCGAAGTTTCTATATTAATAGAATTTAATTAAGGTTATATAAGTTGGATTTATAACTCTATAAGATAAAAAAAAATTCGAGCAAGTGTATAAATAAATGGATTTAAAATATTAAAATTAAAATCTGTTTTATAACTACAATATATATGTGTACACAGTTATTTTTGTGAAAATCATTACAGTTTCTGACATAAAACATAATTTAACTTTGTATATCTATATACTGATAAGATCACTCAAAAACTGACCTCCATTTTATTTAAAAACTCACCAAAGTTTGGAAGCTAAGCGCATTTGATGTTCAGTGATTGAGTTCATAAACTAAACCTGAAATCTATTTATCTTTATTTTGGTTTTGAGATTTATAAATTGGCGAATAATATTATACTGTAAATATAATAATGTTTATCTGATATTTATATCAAATCATTAAGGAAATCATATACCTAATTAAAAAGAAATAAATAATCTATTTATTTCATTATGACAATATCAGATACTCTAATATCGGCAAATTTTTTATAACAAGTAGAAAATATTATTTGAAACGTTTTCCTAATAACTATGAACATCCCAAGGACCCTTTTACCCCTACTAGTGTTGCTAAACGGCCCAATTTGAGTCGATTTTAAACATGGCCCGATTAAGATTTTAGCCAAAATAACATTATGTAAGCCACGAGATTTGACAATTAGAGGTCCAAACCTTTCTGTCATCTAAAAGCAAAATCTTTAGGCTTACATAATATCATTTTGGGCTAGAATATTAATCCGGTCGTTTTTAAAAATCAGCCCAAATTGGGCATTTTAACAACACTAGTACCTACCCCACCCCCCAAAGAGCCCCGCAAACTAGTGTTGTTAAACGGCTCATTTTGAGTCGATTTTTAAAACGGCTAACTCAATATTTTATTAGGAAAATTATTATGCAAGCCTTAAAATTTTTCTCATAGGGGGCACAAAGGTTTGGACATCTAATAACGAAATCTCGAGGCTTAGACAATATTTTTCTGGCTAAAATATTGGCTCAAATAGAGCCGTTTAACAACACTACTGCAAAATAGCCCTCCTGGCTCGGACCTACAATTTTTTTAAATTGTGTTAGGCCAAGTTAAGGAGTCTATAAAAAATATATATAAAATGATGTTTTATCAAAATAAAATGCTAATTAAATTTATTTGTGATAAGGACAAAACAATTAATGATCTTTTCTAAATTTATCTTAAAAGAAAGGGGATTGGGTTTAATAAGTTAATTTTAAAAAAACTTGCCGGACTTGGGTTCAAAATAATAATGAATTGCAGGATGGGCTCGAGCCCAAAAATGAATTAATTATGCCAAAAGAAAATAAGTATTTGGGAAAGATAGTGATTTATTTTATAGATCCGTTGACATGGTGGAAAAGATCTTATTTGAAACCAATTACTTTTGACATTTTCACCCAACCAATCCTGGCATCAAAGACATAAGGTTTGGAAAAGGTGTATTTAAAAACTGGAAACAGGTTAGAAAATGTAAAATCAAGAATATTGGTATATTTATTAGATTCAATTTATATTTTAAATGACAAAAATAATACAGCTCCTCCATGTGATAACAAAATTATAGATAATTATTGAACGTACATAAATCCCCCGACATATAATGGTATATTTCTTAAATCAAAATCGATGTTGATACGGAATAAATTTGTTCTAATGTTGTTTATAATTTATTTGCATTATTTCCCTTTATAACAATTAACAAATAAAATATAAAGATAAGTGAATAAATTATGGTGTTAAATGGTATTTTTCATAATTCTTCCACTAATATTATTTTCCTGGTAAATTACATATCTAATTAAAATAAGCAATGTTAATTTATATTTTATAATATTAGAGAAAAAAAAATAAAATATCTATTCTAGGATTATAGATGGTTAAAATCTATCTATATCTACCGATTGCAAATATTTGCAGAAAACGTTGTTGAGTTCGAAAAAAAATTCTGGATTCGTTTTATGAATAACAAGCCAGCTACTTTAACACAATATCTTTTTTCCTTTTTTTTTGCATAAATTATAATTACACGTTGGCTAGAAGTATTTTAGGTTCCAGAATTAAGCATTTAAATATAATTCCTTCAGTTAGTTTTAGTTACTTTTTCAAAAAATTGATTTATCTTACATATGATATGGAAACAGTTATAGTATACTTCTGATTAAATCTAAATTACGACATTCATGATTTATTTAATATCTTTTTATTTTTTATAGTTGTCACTCGTCACTCCTTTATTTTTGTTAGTATGTCAAAAGTTATGTCGGTTAATTGGATTTAAATTACAAGTCAATATAATACTCATCAAGAAACATGTTTGCAATATGATTATTATATTTATTTAATATATATATATATATATACTCTATTATATAATAATGTTTACTTTATAATGTATATAATTTTTATAATATTCGAGTATTATTTTATATAACTTTTAATAAATAATTCTTAAAGTCTAAAATCTTTTAAAGATATAAAAATATTGTAAACATTAATAAATTTTAACCAAAGTATAATCATTAGCTGTTAGTTCCAAAGTAAGAAAAAAAAATAGGCCTGAAAATGAATGCAGTAAAGACAAAGATTGATGGGGACAATCTGAAGACGGAGAAATTCCGCAACTGGCCTTGTGATGTATGTGATAAGACTATGAGGTTGTACAAAATGGCTATTATACAGATTATTTACCTCTATATTAGTGTGAGTTGCAGTTTTAAAGGCACTGGATTAAACTTGAACCTCCTGAATACCCGAAGAACTTATAATATTGTTAGAATATTTTTCGGATATTTGTGATAATTTTAACTCCATTGAAGTTTGGCACTTTGAATCTTCAGTTCTTAACGAAGAAGTTTTAAATATGTATAACTCGTTTACGTCATCGTCACTTTTGTAATTATCAGTATTCAAGGATTTTGAAGGATGCCTGTGCACAAACGAGGATTCATCATGATTATGTTTAGCTTGGGTAAGATTTTCACGAGTTAGGCCTTTGTCGAAATCATTTTTTTTACAATTCGTAGAAAAACTTTGAAGAGTATAATCTAAAAGTTTGGGTTTTTTATTTTGACCTATATACAAACTTGAAAGTGGAGAAGCTGGAGGAGGAGGGATTTGATGCTCAGGTATACTACTAACCTCGGCAGTATTAATTGAATTAGATTTTGAAAAGTTTAGAAAATGAGTTGTATATACTGATTTTAAACCATATGGATTATTGTAGATTTCATAAGGATGGGATCCATATTTATTTAAGTTTTTAGGAAGGGAATTCTTTTGGCAATGAATTTTACTGGTATTTGCATTTTTAAAAATTTGGTTAGATTCCATATGGTTATCCACCATGTCAGACCATATGATCTCATTGCAATCGTGGTCCAATATATTTTTAGTACTATCACAGGAGATATCAATGTTGGTGTTGGATTGACTAGAAGACGGTAAATATTCATTAATAAAATTGACATCGTATTCAGATTTGTATTTGTTGTTAATGTCGAATGAGTTAATCGATTCATATTTACTTGACATAATGTTGCGCCTAATGTTTTCGTCTGAGAAGGAATGAAGTGACAGCTTAGAATTATCATAATTTTGGTGCTTTTGTTGATTTGAACCACCTATTTTATTCGGGTTAACCAACCATATATGGTTGATATCGTTGTTAAACGATTTTGTACATATTTCATGATCATGGTCATTCTTTAGGTTTTTCAGGTTGAATTCCGACATATTGTTTATGAATAACGATTTGTCATTTTTATGACTGGCATTCGTAAAAGAGGCGGTTGTTTTGCCTAAATTATAAAATTTTCCCGACTTATTGTCAGATGTATCTCTTTTTATGTCAGTGTCGGATGCCTCGCTAGATTTGAACTTCTTAAATTCATTATTATTAGTATTGTCGTTGTTGCACAACAATTTGGAGCAATCATTTTTATGCTTACCTTTCCATTTTTTATTACCTCTATTGAAATTTTTTTTGACGGACCCATTTTTTTTAGGTCGAAAACTTAAATCGTCTTCCTCGACGGATCCCTTGTGAGATTTAGATGTTTTGAAACAGGAATCTTTGCATCCTTTGTGATATTGGCAGATGCAATCATCTACTGTTTTGCCATCATCTTGGCTAGATTTATAAAGGCAATTATTATCAGCATGAGGTATCAAAACTTTGCGCTTGACTCGGTATTGGTAAGACTTAACCCGTTGGTGATAAACAGCCCCCAAAATTAGCAAATTAATTATTAATAAACTCCCCCCGACTCCCAAAGTTATAATCAGAACGGAATTATATTTTAAACGCCGGGTTTTAGCGTATTCACGGTCGTCAAAATATTTGTACCCATTTATATTTTGGAGATACATTTGCTCATCGAGTCCTAATGAATAATTAACAGCCCTATTATTATGGTTATTTCCATTAGGGGTGTTCCGAAAGGGAAATATAGGAATTTGCAAGTGACTCGAAAAAGTGGGATTATAATATTGCAGGTTATCATCAACCGAATAGTGGGAATTCTGATTTGGTTCTTCTTTGATCAATTTATCGAGTTTATGAGGTCGCATAATTTTTTCCATAACCATGGAGGGTATGGTAGCGGGAGGTAACGGGGGAGGGGGAGGAAATTCTGAATCGCGGTAATCGGATTCATAATCTAGGTCCATATCTAAAATTTGTTCGTATGCCGCAAAATTATTTCCATCTATATCCTTTTCATCATTATTCTTAACGTCGTGTAACCATTTCGATTTTTTATTTTCGTTCATCTTTTTATTTTTACTTGCGGTAAAAGAGATAGTTGGTTCCTCGTTCGCGTTCAAAATTGGAATGAACCTGTTCCACAGTGCCATTCTTCTAGCTTCGTAATGATTATCGACGATGGTGCCATTTTTCGCTTATATAGTACATGGTAAATAATATTTTAAAAAAATTAAAGTATAATTATGATACGTAATATAAATATAAAATTCGATAATATCTTTAAAAAAAAAAGTTTTATGGGCTAGCTTTCATTGAAATAATTTGTAGACGCATTAATAATATTAATCTTTGTAAAATCAAAATTATCGATAATTAAATACAACAAAAAAAATGGTTCAAAAAAAAAATACTTATCGAAATATATCTTTGACTAATGATATCATAATTAATCGAGGATACATTGGCAGATGAATCGTTTAAAAACTGCCTTTTTGATCTCTTGACATCCGTGTTTTGGCTGTTAATATTAAATAAAAATTTTAATCTCGATAATACATTTAGAAATGACGATCATTACTTCTTAAAGATTTGGTTAAATTAATCAATCTAATTAATTAATGATGACCTAAAATGGGCTATATTTTTTGGTGGTAAACTGTTTATTTATAAATAAAAATGCATACCCTTATAAAGAAGCTCACCAAGTTTTTTTTTGTAAAAAAATCTCTATTTGTATCTAAAGATACTGAAAAACCATTGTTTTAATGTAACATATTTTATTGATAATATAATGCGTTATTAAAAGGTAGAAAAACAATATAAAGATAAGTTCGTCTCAACAAGTGTTAAACGGCCCGATTTGGGTCGATTTCTAAAACGGCCCGTTGATTTTGCTCATAAGTGGCAGAAAAATTTGGAACTCTGCCAAATCTATAGATTACGATATATTATTTTGGCCAAAATCATAATCGAGCCGTTTTTATGACCCAAATCGGGCCGTGTAACACACATTCTCAACTATATAATATATTAAACCCCGATTTCACGAATTTAGATATTGTGTCAGTTATCATTTGGGAATAGTAATAATTCGCCTTTAAAATTTTATTCATAATGACAACGACTTCAGGTGTTAGAGTTTTATTTGAAGAAGAGTTTTGGCCAGCTGCTATAAAAATGGTTTTAAATGTCTTGTTAATTAATCTTTCAAAAATATTTGGCCTGATCATGGAAGGGTAAGCGGTGAGTAAATAGGGTAGATGGGAGTAAGAAAAGGGGCAGTAATTAAATATGTTTTGCGATTTTTTATCCGGTCTATCTATTATAGTATAAAAAAATAAATAATTATTATATTAGCATCTGTTATTATGATTTATAAAATATAAACTTGTTATTAGTGGATCCAAGATCCATAGCATCGAAGACACACTCGGTGAGTAAAGGTTCAACATTTTAATAGTGGGAGCGAAAAGCGTAAAATCTTTGATAACGTCTTTCAGATCTTTCATAAGGTTCCACTGGGAAAGGTTGTACAATTTTTCCCAATTAAGGTATTCATTGGCAATGGCGGCATAAATGTGTTTCCGATGATTGAAAAAATTATTTATCACCAACCTATTAACCACCTGTTTCCAAATTACGAAATTATTGCGGGATGACGATGCTGATTTTGATACTTCCGGATCTTCCAGAACGTTTATATTTAATGATTCCTTTAAATACGATCTGAACTTTTGAAGTGAACAATCGTTGATCAAACCGACCATCAAATTAAAATCGGGGTTTAGGTCATGTTTTATTAGCTTTTTATTGTCACTACGCGATTGATAAATGTTAGGAATTACAAAATTATCTATATGAGGTGACCAAATTATAAGACCTACGTGTAACTTGTGAGTTATTTCGAGGATTTCACTAGGTTCCATTTTTTTTAAACATTCGGCTAAAGTGTATGACATTATTTTGGAAGAACCATTATTAGTTTGAAGATTCTTTGGCGATGTGCAATTGAAGATTTTTAGCAAAAGGTTTGTGGTGTATGGCGGTTTCCGTAATTTGATAGGTTGCGAATATATCGATCCATCGATCAGTATGATTCTTTTAAATTTACCTTAATTTTATTTGTTGAAATAATATTTTATTCTGTATCTTATATTTTAATATATTTAAAATGGTTTCCCAGCAATTCGGCCTTGTTGGCAACCGAAGATTTAGCGTGGACAATTCCGCCCGATTTATTTAAAGTATATATTTTTATAAAAATAATTATTTGATTTAAAACATGAAAACTATCAGAAAATTAATTTTATTTAATTACACTTGCTAGCTAAGAGTTCTTGTAATGTTTATGGAAACTAATTAAAGCCTCCAGTAGTTTTTAAAAAAATTTTCAGTATTTTTTTTGTTTATTTTATTTTTACCAGTATAAATTAATATCTACTCAGTCAATAATGGATTATTAGTATTAAATACAAAATATTTCAGCATTTTCTAAAAAAGGATCTATAAAAATATAATTTGATCAAAAAATTGTTTTTTTGACAATAAATCCATCAAATAATTAATATCACTGCCCATTTCTTATTAAAAAACTACTTGATTAATTTTATATATCCTTTTTTTATATGTAAGTAAATGATTGTAGAGTTTTTTCACGAATAAAAAAACTAAGAGTTGTTTTTTTTTGTACAAGCAGAGTAGTATATATTTTTTTTTTGAATTTCATTCAAACCTTTTGAGATCGGAGAAACCATTAACAAGTTTGATAAAGCTGCCCCGTAATTATATCCCAATATCGTAACCTGAGAAGCATCTCCTCCGAAATTAATTATGTTTTCCTGAATCCATTGTAGAGCAGCGCAGAGATCTAGAAACCCATTGTTACCTCTTATAATCGAGTCTCCGGTAGTTAAAAATCCTTGTATTCCGAATATAATAATAAATATATATAGCAGATGTTAACAAAAAAATTAAAAATATGAATACTCTTCATAATAATATATCAGGTTCTGCTAACCAAATATAAGTTGAAAGGCAAAAGCGTGCAAAGAATTTTATAAGTAAAATGGAACCCGATAAAAATCTTAAGAATTTATTAATAAATTTTCACTTTCAGCCCAGTCTAGGATTTTGTACAAATATAAAGCAGTCTGGTATACATCTACAGAGAAAAAAATTTGAAAAAATACCTTTTTTTTCTATGGCCATTTCTGATTTTACTTCTGGTTTTTGGTAATAATCTGGTATCTATCACATTTATTTATATGTCATACTAAAGATCTACTATTAAGCTATATAATAAAATTTAAATTATTGCTCCAACTAATTTATTCCAGAGATATTGAAAATCAATGAAGTGCATATTGTCAAAAATGTACCTTTTTTCCGTTCTTTAAACGCCCATGTCTTAGCGAGTAAGTAAGTAGTGTAAGGAAGTAAAATGTTATCATTTTTCTTAGTTATTATAGTATAGTATATACTACCAATATACAAAATTTAGAAAAATTCTGAGGGGGTTAGGCTGAAAATCGATTTTTTTTTTATTGATTTGGTATGGAATTTACCAAATAACATATAATACAAATAAAGTTAAATAATTATAAACATGTATTCTTCGCTCTGTTTAATGATGATATTAGTTATGGGAAGTAGAAAGTTCGTTTTAATTGAATTATACACACGGTTGCTGAGAATTTAAAGAGTCAAGGCGGTTTAAATAATCACTTGACAGTTAATAAAGATATTAACTAACTCCTCCCCTGATAGTAATACACCTAAATTATTTCAGTTATTTTTCAAAATTTAAAATCCAAATTATCAAGGATGTGCAAATAAAAAAATTACTTGTGCTAAATCTACCCCGAATATCCATGATAAAGTGGAATGAATATGAGAAGATTAAACTTATTAAAGATAATCTTAGACTTACAAAAAATGTCTAAAAATCAGTGGCGTAGCTACAGGGGAGGTTTTCGGGTTTGGACCCCCCTCCCCCACACCAGAACAATTTTTTTTAGATTATACATTCAAAAGACTCAAATGTTACTTTATATCAAATAAATATATATTTTTCTGGTTTTGATGTTTGTGGAAGGATATTATATTACTACTGAAATTATTCTGGATAGTATTATTATAAAGTCATTGAGAATAATCTACAACACTAATTAAAATGATCAATAATTCTAGGAATTTTATATTATAAGAAAAACAAATATAATTTTTAAGATAAACTGGCGAAGGCCCGTTAAAGAGGAGGGCTGGGGGTCGCCCCCATGATTTTATATGTATGGACCTCCTCTAAGGAAAATTCCTAGCTACGCCACAGCTAAAAATTAACAATTATAATTAGCAAATTCATAAAGAAGATATGTTCTTAAAACGTATACTTTAAATGTAAATTAATTTCTTTCTATATTTAAGATTATTTATAACTAATTGGTAAAAATTATATTAAAAAATTTATGGACAAATGAAATATAATTATTTTTCACTTTTTTTGAACTAAATTATTGTATTCATAAACTTAATTATATATATTTGGTCAGTGACGAAGCGCGAAGTTTACTAATAGGGAAGCAGTTAATTTTTTTCATTTGCAAAACCATACCAAAGTTTAATGTAAGTATAAATGAATTTGTCGTTGATTTTTGAGTAATACTCGATAACTAAATTAAAAAGTAATTTGCTAGATTTATAAATTTGTTTTCAATAGAAATCAATGATGGGTTGGATAATTTAACTTGTCGTGTTTCTCCTAAGTTTTAATCATTTTTAAATTAATAATCCCTACTCTGCACTTACGGTTGTTTGAACAAATGTTAGGATGAAAAGTTATGATTATTTTTCCAAATTTAAAAGATGTTGTTGGTTTTCCTTCAATTTATTCATATCAAAATTTCTTGAGTTAAAATATATTATGAATAAATTTTTAACGCCACTATTGCAATTATTATATATTTAATTATTGCTTTTAAAATAGAAGAAATTTTTATTTAAAAAAAGAAAAGATAAAAATAAAAAAAAATTCTTTCCATTTTTTAATTTTTTTTAAACGTAAAATTACATAATACATTCGCATCATTTTCTAGTTATTTATTAAAAAATAATAAGTGATATAGATTTGACTCCCTAACGTTTATTTTATTTGACGTATAATAAAAAAAATTACACCAAAGATATATCGTATGACTTTTTTTCTTTTATTATATTTTTAAAATAAGAAGTTTTAAATTTGCTTCCCACATGTATAAATTTTTTAATGTGATAATAATAATATCTAACTTTTTAAAAATAGTATCAATTTTTTTAAACGTAGTAAGAAAAGTATATTAATTTTTTTTAAAGTTGCATAAAGATTATATTAATTTTATACTTCTTTGCTTCTATGGACTCTTCATCACTACAATTAGTATAAAAATAGAAATAAATACACTATGGGTAATTTATTTTTCCTCTTTAAAAATTTTTTCTAATTATAAAATAAACATAACTTAGTTCCCAAATAATCAATTACTTATTTATATATTCATAATGTTATTTATAATATTTTAATTTATATATGTCTATTGAGTCAGCTTAAATAAGATACAAAAACCTAAATCCCATTTTAAATTATAGTCTAGTTTTAAAAATATATCACAAAATAATCAAGCCTATAAAGTTACATTATTGACTAAAATTCAGGAATGTGAACCCGGACCCGGACAAGGGTTCAGGGTAAAAATTTTAACATATAAATTCTTTTTTAAATAATGTAAAAATATTATTTTTAAAAAATAATATAAAATTTTTATAATTTTATTAATTTTTTTCGTGGAATCATTTATTTTATATTCGCGCTTTTCATTTGATTTTCTTCCTGGACTTCATTTCATTTTATTTAGAGATTGATACCATAAATTATTTTCTAGTGTAAGTAATAATATTTTATTATGTAAATTTATTAATATGCTTTTCGCCTAAAAAAAAGCATTCATATTCAAATGTCTGAGGAGAATTTGATGAATGCTTTAGTTGAGCTTGTTACAATAAATGGAAGACCTTTCAATATTATTGAGGATTCTGGTTTAAAAAAAATTATGATCCTATTAGTAAGGCAATTGGAACATCAATTAACCGTTTTAAAATTTTAGTGGTTGATGAATCGAAAAAAATACAAGCAAAAATTATAAAAGAAACAAAAAACAAATTAATTTCATTAAAAATAGATTCCACCCAAAGATTAGGGAGAAATATTTTAGAAATATACAATATATTAAAGGAAATAATATAATCTTAAGAAATTTAGCAATGAAGGAGATTAAAGAAAGTTCAACTTCTGAAAATATAAAAAGAATGATAATAGAAACTTTAAATAAATTCCATATTCCTTTAAGAAACGTTTATACCATTACTACGGATAATGGTGCTAATCTAGTCAAATCTATTAAATTATTAAATGAATGTTCATTGGACGAAATGGATGATATAGATATAAATAATGATGATAATAATTTTGAGGACATAAGTGAATTTGACATACCGGAAATAATAAAAGAATTTTCCACGAAGATATACTGTATCAGATGTGCAGCCCACACACTACAATTAGCTATTAATGATTCCCTCAAAAATAATATCTTTAAAACTATAATGACAAAGCAAGGGATGTTGCTAAATATTTAAGAACTCCTACAATTGTACGAATATTAAAATCCATGAAAAGGCAAATGGCAATATTAGATTGCACAACCCGTTGGTCCTCTATCTGTATGATGCTAGAGCGATTAATAAGTTTAAAAGATTTCTGTGATGATTTTATTATAGGATCATGTGAAATCATTTTGTCAGAGGATGATTGGAATCAAATCAAAGACCTTACTAGGGTGTTGGTTCCTTTGAAAATTACTACATTACGATTGCAGTCAGAACAGTTGTGTTTATCCGATTTTTATGGCATATGATGAGATGTCGATTAGAATTAGAAAAATTTACAAGTTCCTTTTCATACGAAATATTAGAAAACATGAAAATACGAGAGCAACAATATTTGAAAAATAGTGTTGTGTATGCCTCAATATATTTAGATCCTCGATATCAAGTTCTATTAAGTATTGAGCAAAAGCAAATGGCAATAGACCATCTCGACGATTTATGGCATAACCATAACTCTATTATTAACAATATATTGGAGGCTTCAACATCTAATGGTTGTAGCGATAGTAATGATGATAGTAATATTGACGATCTCGAAATTTTATTATTAGATAGAGAAAAAAAAATAAAATTATCATCAGGATCAGATAGAAAGGTGAAAAAAATATCGATTGTATCTTTAATTGAAATCTCAGAAGTTAAGAGAATTAATAGGGATAAAAATATTTTAACATTCTGGGAGGAAAATTCTCTAATATATCCTGAATTGTATACCTTGTCTAGATTCGTCATGGCTGTACCGGCGACACAGGTACAATAATTTATATATTATAAAGATAACTATCTATTTTAGGACAGCGTAGAACGTGGATTTTCTTCTTTGAAATACATATTGTCTAATTTACGTGGAAATCTCAAGGATGATATTTTAGAAGATATTATGATCGTTCGATTGAATAAAATATTTAAAATTTAAATTATTTCATTTTGAATTATGAATGTGTATATATATTGAAGTATAATAAAAATGAATGAAAAAAACTTATTTTGAGTCATTATTTTTATGTTCCCTGGACCCGAACCCTGGACCCGAACCCTGGACCCGAACCCTGGACCCGGGTCCTTTAAAAATTTATTACAGGACCCGAACCCGGACCCTTTTTTTTTGTTGAAGGGTTCACATCCCTACTAAAATTTACTTATTATACCTCATCAACTTTCCTTTCTAAATAAATTTCAAATTGATTTTCTTTAAAAGATTATATATAGTTTTCTATTGTTATGATTATGAATTTATTTTTGAAATAAATTATATAACTCCAACTTTTAAATAAGTATTACCAAATTTAAAAATAATACTTAATTAATAAGTTTATTTAAAATATAAATGTGTGATAATTGACAAAACATCTAAAGAATTATACCGACATTGCAGGCTCGCTCATAAGAGATTTTCTACGGGGGGGGGGGGGGGGGGTTCTTTTTTAATATTAAAATTTATTAGAATTAATCATACAAAAATTTAAAACTTATTATATATTAAATTTCAAACACAAATAATAAAATATTGGAAAATACAAAATATTAATGTGATCGCGATTTTGGCGCTTTTTTAAAAAATGCTTATAACTATTTCCATCTTGATTTTTATATAAACGATTAAATGGCTCACGTAGAGTGAATTAAGCCTTATTTTATAAATATTATATTATACAAAAAAATTTAGGATCCTTTCTTTGGAAATAAATAAAAATTGCTGGAAATATGCCTAAAAAACCCTTTTTAAGTTTTATCATAGTCCGGAGCACAAAATTATTTAAGTTTATTTTTTAAAAAAATCTGTCCTCTCTGGATTCAAACCCATATCTAAGTTTATAATATGTCTATGCAACTTAGCCACCCTTGTTAATCGAGAATAACAATTTTGGTTTATATAAATAATTTAAGACATGTTCAACGCTATACATCCTTACCCTATAATTTTGGGTAATGTTAATTCCAGTTAGCACATAGTAATTCGCTAAAAACAGCAATCACATTTGCTTTAAAAAAGACCTATTTTTTAAAAAATGCAAAAATATCCATTTTTCATATTTTAAGAGATGATCACGCGGTTGCTTCCGATCTACTAAATAGGTATATATGTATTTTCCGATTAGGCCACTACGGCCTTTCTAAAGATATTAATCTTTTAAAATATATATTATAATCATATGTGGTGGTGTTAATCCAAACTGAAAAATTAAACAGATTCGTTAAATTAATAATAACCTAAAATTTAGCATACTAAAATGTTTTTATGCAAATTTTCAAAATGCATTATCTAGACATGCAAATCAAGATAATATCTATTAAAATGATATAGATAAATTGCAATAACATAATAAATTTGAAAAGTTGAATTAGCAAGAGTGCTAGAGGAACATTTTTAATTTATAATAACAAATATATTCATAAATTTAAAAAAATCTCGGGATAAATACTGTAAAAATGGGCGAGGTTTCTGACTGGTTCAGAGAAAGTGCCTTCATCATAAAGCACTATTTATCAAAATACCATTTTTTTTAAAAAAAATCAATCACAAATAAAATAAAATTATTACCGAATATGCCTAGCCTAAGATTTAGTGTAATAACTATAATGTCGTGCTTGGCAGCCATTATTTTCCCATCGTAGGTATTTCCGGTTCCCGCATTGTACGAATCAAGAAGAAGGTAAACGAGAACGGGATATTTTAATGATTTGTCTAAATTTATTTTTAAAATATATTTTTTAAAAAAAAATGTAATGATTATACTTATTCAGACCTTCATTTATATGAATTACAAATATCTCATTTTATAAAAAATAGATAAATCTGTTGGTTAAATATTTTAAGAGATATAGGTTTTTAAACAGTCTAGGTCGCTTAAGGCTCGGTCCTGGTGCAACTTCTTTATCGCTGCATATAAAACGAATTCAATGTTAAAAAATAAGAGATAAAATTGTCGCTTTTTTACTTTCAAAAGATGGGATAACATTTTTAAATACAAAAATTATTTATAATTTCTAAAAAAAATTTCTTTTTTCGTGAAAAATTCAAATTGTATAGTAATTATTTTAATAATTTATTATATTATACTTATTTATTTTTAAAAATTATTGTTTTTATGGGCCGATTACATACATTTTAGAAAAGTGGGGGGGGGGGGGGGGGGGCATGAGGAATGTTAAAATTATATTTACAAATCTTGTAATATGCCAATGGTTAGTTTCTCATCCCCCCTTAGTTAAGCCCATGAGTGAGTTATTATTTACAGTACGCCTACTGCCTACACACATACTATATATATTTTGAATATGAATCAGATTGTATATCAAAAATCTAGTTTTTTGAATATTTGTCATCTTAAATTGGGAACTAGCAATTTTAAAATTTTGTTTTATAACAAATCCTATTTTTTTTCAAGGAGAAATAATTTTACTACTAAGCGAAAGTTTATAATATATTAATTTTAAAAAAAATTAAAAACAGTCACTTATTTTATAATTTTAAATTTTAAATTTTGCTTGAAAATTCACAACCAAATAATATCCAATATATTGTTTGCTAAAAATGAGTAGAAAAATATATAGTATAATTTACTACTATTTTTTTTTGATATATAAGTTATGCACATTAATCTATATTGTATATTTTTAAAAAATCTTAAGGTTACATAATATAAAAATCTAGAAGTTTTGTGTATAATAATATTATAATAAATAATATACATATTTATGATATAAAACTGTAGTTGAAATAAGCGTATGTGTCAAACATTGGTATTTATATTTTTCAATTTTTAATATATATTAGCCTATCGTTTCCTAATAATGAAATATTGAATTATATATTCATGTTTAATATGATAACTTTGAAGAATGGATATAGGAAGTGAGGGGTTTGTCATAATTTATTAATTTTTGTTCGCTCGCATTTTTCTTCGTCATTGGTTATATCATATATTACAAATAATTAAAATTTAGAGGAAGAAAATCATAATAAATTTTTTTTTATTTGATATATAAATATAAATATTTTGAAAAAACGTTTTTACAAAAAAATGGCCAGTCCTCAACTAGTAAGCTAATTTCTCATGTGCACATATTATTAATCATGTTCGTCCTATTTTTCCCCCCTTTTATCAATTTATTTCATTTTTCTTTATTTCTACAATGTCTAATTTTGAATTTGTATTCTGTCATTTAAACAAGCTTTGTTTGCAGAAGTGATGTGGAAACTTATACATATTTAGGCTACTTTCCAGATTGACGACCCTTTTTTGGAAATGTAATTGACTCTCATGTATAACAGCCAACTTTGTTCTAAAGAATCCTGATGGATTCGATTTAAAGGGTACCTAAAATAAGTTCAAAACTAGTTAATGTTTGACCTTCTCTAGATCTATAACTAAAATGGCGCAGAGATCAAATAAATTCCACTACTATTTCATAATTTTCCTAATGAAATTTAAAAAATATCAAACATTTAACCAATTTTATTTTAAAACTAATAATATTAATAATACCATCATGATATGTCGGACAATTACAGCTAAGCATGATATCCAAAATATTAAATTAAATTTATTTAATTTAATTAGCGATATCTTGAAAGTTTTAAAGTTTCTAGAATATTGTGTATATGTTTTTTGAAAAAAATATTTGCAAGCTTGAAAATAGATTTTTTAAAATTTTAATCTAATTAATTACACATATAAAAAATTTTATTAACACTTTATCTCGTTTTTTTTTAAAATATAAAAATTTTATTACAAATTTTAAATTATACTGAAATAAAAAATATATAAATGAAAGTCTGCATAGAAAGTGATAAGAATTTACGAACGAATGTTATAAAACGAAAATACATTATATTATACAATATAATTTTATAGTTTAATTATTGTTATATATAATATTTAATATAAAGAAAAGATATAGTTTTTAATCCTAAAATATAAAACTAATGCCTAAGTTGTCCAAATAAAAACAAATATTTTACTATTTATTTAATATATAGCTGCAAAAATTTAATTTTTTTTATATGAATGTTATATAAATATATAATCTTTTTATAAACTGATAATTAACTCTGTAGGATATTTATATTAATTGCTAAAATAATGTTTTCCATCAAGATTTATCACTCATTTCCTTATAAAAAACCTTATATTCATACGTATATAAATGATCTTATATTGCTTATTAATAATAATTTCAGGATTAGCTAAGTATAAAAAACAAAACCTTTTGATTATTAAGATCTAATATTGTCAAATATTACTAATTTTATAATTTTTCAGTATACTATATTTTTAAAAAAACTATAATATATATTGGCTCTGGCAGATAATAAAAATTTTATAATTAAAAATTTTTTTTAGGAAGAAATGTTAGAAATAAATATATAGTGTTGAAAAAAATATATTATTTAATAAATAGGATAGTATAACCCGACAGCCTTTTAACAATTCCTGGTAGTTTTATTTGCATGCATTTATGCATTAAAAATATTATTTTGAATAATGTTAAACGGTGCCCCATTAACATATAGTTGTTTTTATTTACTAAGAACCAAATTTTTTTAAATAAGGACCTATTTCAATATATATAAATGGTGTCAACAGAAAAACACTATTGTCAACCTGACTCCTTCAGATTCTTCTAGAATTTTAACAAGAGGTTGTATATATTATAACTAATGGGAAAATATTAGCCTCACAACACCAAACCGCGGCTGAGATATGGACTTCTAAAGTCGAAAAAATGGGGTTGGGAAATTGCACTCCTTTTAATTTTTGACATCTTTAGATATAATTGAGCTAGAAGCGTCATTTAAATTTCTTTATATAGCCTAAAGATAAACCTGTAAAGTTATATAGCCTAAAGATAGGTTGTTTTAAAAAATTCAATTGTCAAAAACCGGAAATAGAACCAAAAATGATCATTCAAATCGGCATTTTTTCTCTCAAATTTTTTTATGAATAGATATAGGATTACTTAAGTTTAGGGTATATCATTTTAATCATTATTCTATAGCAAATATTTTTTATAAATATTAAATCCATTTAATGATTGTAATAGTAATATAAATCAAAAACTATCTAATATCTTTTTCTATTTTTTTCTTTTTTTTTTATATTATAAAAATTTTATTAGGCATACAAATATAAAAGTAATAATACAAAATACTTATCCAATATATACAAATAGTTTACATGTACAACTTAAAAATATATTAAATCTATAATTTAATTTTAATTCAATTTTTTTAGGTATAATAGCATGAAACTTTTGTATTCCGGGATATGTTCGTTATCATATGTGAATTAATTCCAATGATATTTGCTTTATAAAAATTAAATAAATCTATGGTGTTTAATATTCGATTCTCATATGGTTGCTGTAGGCTAGCACTTGCTGCTAACCATTTGATAATATTTGCCATGGGACATTACGAAGATGTGTCAATCCGCTTTGATTCCAAAATCAAGTTCATGATAGCTTAGATTATGAATTTCATTCTTATATTAAGAAAACCAAATAATTTTAGTTGAAATAAATTTTAAAAAATTTAATCTGCAAATTTACTAGTTCACATTTACATCAATATGAGCTTTTTTTAAATTACGATATAATTTCTTAAGATTGCATAAAATGAGTATTTTCTTCAATTGGTTCTCCCTAATCTTTAATGATATTACGCCGTTTGCGTTATACTGTTCTTTAATCGGAATTATAAAATTTTTCAATTAAATCTAAAATATAGTCTCGATCTCGATAAACACTGCCAGCTTTTATAACATTTTGATTGAATTAAAACCACTTTTTCCGTCCAGTTTATTTACCAATCTTTCCATAAATTCAGTCGTAAAAAATCTTCTTGTTAGGGTCCAAGAATTTGGTAAAACCGTCAATATCTTCTGTGTTGTTTCAAATTTATTTTTCAATTGCTTAATGATTTAACATTCATCGTAATATTATAATTATCTTCTAAAGAAGTTTCAATCTTTCTTAATTTTCCTTGGATTTTCAATTTTTTAAAAATGGAACATCTATTACCTTAAGCGTTTCTTAATAATTGATGTCATGCCCATTATTGATTTAGTTATGGATGTTGAAGGAAATGTGATACTAGCTGAGAGTACTTCCTACAACTTCTTAGTGATGAAAGCAGAACACCCCTCTAAAAATATACCCCACCTCCCTCCAAAAAAGCAGTCAATTATTTTTTTACCCCCCAACCTAAATTATTAATTTCAAAAATAATTTTCATTGCATCAATCTTTAATATATATTATAATTATAAAAAAAATATATGCTTTATATCTTTTATAAATTAATAATTTGGAATTAGGGGAAGAGAAAGTAAATTTTATTCTATTGATAAATTATTTAAAAAGGGATCTTCCGTGATACTAAGAAGTCTTGTTTTAATTAGTCTAATGTTACTCCTGACTCTTTCGGCAGTATACATGAGGTAGTAGGAATAGTTAATAAATATTTATATAAAATTGGTAAATTAGGCAAAGCAGAAAAACAGAAAGTGAAAGATAAAGTAAAATAAAGGAATAATTTTTCCAATCTGAATCATAAATCTCAGAATTATTATCATCAGAAGAAGACGCTAAATAATGTATTTAAATATTTTGATGAAATACATTTACAATTCTCAGAATCTAAAAAATAATTGCAAATATAGGGAACGAAAATATATTACAT